AAAATCTGTTATCACAACAATAGGAAATAGTAAAATTTTCGTTGTTTTTCTTTCTATTTGTTTCTTTATTTTGTGTTAGCTGACACAGATTAAAGATTAATTAATCTTTAATCTGTGTTAGCTAACAAATATTAAGACATTAAACTTTAATGTTTTAATAGTATGGTTGACCCATCAGTTTGACAAACCTCAAGTACTTTTAACAGCCATACTTTCCTTTTATAAGCTAAAACGATTGCTAAACATATTTATTTTATTGAAAGTAAATATAGAGTAGTTAGTTTAGCAACAAAATTCAATAAAGCTTGTTGAAGAAACTTCAATGAAGTCTTAATAAGTATTCTAGTTTGTTTTTTTGCTTGTTTGTTTATGTTTAGAAAAATGACAAGGAATGCAAGCATTGGGAGAAGCTTTGAGCTTTGCAAAGTGCTGTATATGAAGGAAGGTACCTAAAGGTATGTTCTATTCAAATTATTATTGTAAAACTGTCTAGTGAGAAGAGAGTTCGTTACTGTATAGAAAAAAAAAAGAATTAGTATATGAAGTTTAATAATTTGTTAAAATTGGAAAATAAACTTCTAGGCATGAGTTTATTATAAACAGAACAGAAAATTTATGGAACACATTGCCATTGGAAGTTGTCAAGTAAACAAATGTAAACAGTTTCAAGAGAAAATTAGACAAATATTTAGTATCAAAAAAGTTAACTTAAAAATTATTTTTTGTTTAAACTATTCATCTTTTGCATTATATTATTGAAAGTTATATTTTGTTATATATAAGTTATATTGCAGTATATTTTCAAAAGCTGTCAAATTAAATTTCTAACTCACTTGCTGTTAACGCAGCTACAGTTTGACTACTACTATGACTATTATATATTTTTAAATGTTAGCATCAGTAATATATATATGTATATATATATATATATATATATATATATATATATATATATATATATATATATATATATATATATATATATGTATATATATACATATATATATATATATATATATATATATATATAATATATATATATATATATATATATATATATATATATATATATGAAAGATTTGTGAAATTCAACTACTCCTTTATTAATTTTTGATTCTGAAATTAAGTAATTTCTAACCCGCATAGTTTCCAGTGGATTAATATTTTTCTTAGAATGCAAAACTTTCATTAGTTCTCTGAATTGTGACACTATTTTTGCATAACATTGCAAAGTCTTCACTTGTTACACATACAAGTTTTTATTTATGTTTTTAAATAAATTTAATCTGGAGTTGATAAGATTATGGCAATGTTTTTAAATTTTTAATTAGAATGTAGTTTTCTGAGAAAAGATAAAATAAATTGACCTATATCTTAATCAATTTTAATATGAAGCTAATAGAATAGTGTAAACTTTTTTTATGTTTTTTGGAAATCATAATAAGATGTAGGTTTTATTAAATTTTTAAGATGTAGATGATAATTTTTATATAGATTAGAACATTCACAAACATTTTCCCAAATAAATATGACAGTTTTTACCATAACAATTTAATTTATGTATGCCTTTAATGCGTATTTGTTTTTACTAAGTATTTAATATTATTTTTATTACCTTTATTGTATTTTTTTTACTTAAATTTATCACCAAAAAAAATTACCAATTTTTTTCTGAATTATATTTTGTATCTTTGAATGAATCTCAAAATTGAAAATTATGAAAAAGAACATTTCTTTCTCAAAATTCAAATTTATGGCCAACCAACAAGAAAGATCTTTGTTTTATGAGCAGAAATATTCCCTTCAACATTTAGAAAGTTTCAGACACCAATTTCTATTTGTGTTTCAAAATGACCACAACTATGCATTGCAAATAATACCTGTTGATCAATCTTATTCTAATACAATCAATGATAAAACATCAACAGCTTATTTAAACAAAAATGCGAGCCTTAAAGATCAAAATGTAATTGAGGTTAATATGCATAATGAAACTTCTGACAAAGTTTTTATTCCACTTTCCATGACATCAGAAAAATCTGTGACATCAAAAAATTCAAAAGCAACTTTGAACATAACTGCAGCAACTTCTGACATAACTAAAAAAACAGAGACACTTACCTTTAATGAAGTTCTGACTCTATTACAAAATGCTACTTATTTTAATAATGGAGAAGAAACTATACCTGTTCGTCTCAAAGCAGGAGAAATTTATGGGTTTACAATTTCCAGTGACAAAACATTAAAAAAGCATTTGCGAGCAGATGGCTATATGTGGAGGAACAAAAAAAGTTGTGCATTAGGAAATGGTTTAATCACTAAGACATATTTTTACGCAAGAGTTGGTAAAACATATACTAACAATTTTGAAAAGCATGAATATATGTTGCAAAATGGAAAAAAAGCATTGATTCATTACTTGGGCAATGAAAAATCATATGTTGATAGATGTCATGGAAATTCAACAAAATCAAAATCTTTTTTTTTACAGATCATCGCA